GAGGGGCACGGAGGGAGCAGGTGGTCCAGGAATGGCCTTTCTTCAGCTCGATTCCTACGCAGGTGCACAAAGGTGGGGCTTCGCAGGTGCGCAGAAGATCCCCGAGCTCTGGCGCCCCTTCTCCTTCTCCTGGACCCCCGTGTTCCGTCCACACGTTCCCTCAGCGCCCCCCCCTTTCTTCCAAGCCCCGCCACTTTATGGAGATTCTTTTCTCCCTTCAAAGTAACAAAATGGGGGGGAATCCTTTTTTTTACTATTGAAGGGGTCAAATCAATACGTATAAAATATATATCTTAGCCTAACCATAGCCATCTTGCTTTCTGTAACTTGATTTGCTATGTGAATATATTGAAGGGGTCCAGTTAATACATATTTTTTAATGATTAAGGTTTTTGCTCACTAGACAAGAAGAGATCAAGAAGGGAGGCCGCCTGCATTCCCTTACTAGCTGCTTACAGTGGTCTGGTGGTCCAGACAGGCGGGGTATAATTCAAACAAACAAACAAACAAACAAATAAATAAATGAATAAATAAATAATGGTCTGTCCTTGGAAAGTCTGGGCGAGAGACCTGGGGAATGATTGACCGCTCAAAGCTGGGTTCCTGCAGGAATGAGGACCAATTATAGAAACCCCTCCCGTTTCTACACCTCTTCCCAACCCCCTTGGTGCTATCTCTTTTCATGTGATCCCTTATAAAAAGGTATACTTTTGTATGGGGGAGGCACACTCCTTCTCTGCATGTGAAGTCTGTGCCTCTTTTCAGCTGAAAATAAATATTTATTGGATCTCTCTGTCTCTGGCTGATTGATTAATGTGTGAGATACAGGCAAAAACCCATGAATTAGTCCTGGGCCCTTTATTGGCGACCACGAAGGCACCTTGAAGCATAAAATGCCTGCTAAGAGGCCCTGACCCTCTTTGTTGGGGGGGGGTGACGTGGTCTGGGTTCTTAAGGGCAGACCAGAGAATCCACGAACTTTTTATATCCATTGTATGTAGAATAATGTGGCAGTTACAGCTTCCTAGCTCAATTTTTTTTCTGGGAAAGGCTCAATACTTACCAGCACCCCCTCGTAAGAGACCGAGGAAGAAGGAGAAGGGAAGGATTAAATATGTTATTTGCTAGATTTATAGAAAGGAAGAGAGAGAGATTTGGGGGCAGGTAACAAGAAAGTAAAAGGAAGCGAGACAAAAGAGAAAGATAGACAGACAGACAAAGGAAGGTAGAATGATAGAAAGAAAGGGAAAAAAGGATGAGGAATGGGCGGATAAATGGCAGGCTGTTTCCTTGCGGCAGAGGCTTTATAGCCCACTTCAGGCCTTTGCCTTTCTACAGCGAGTTTTCCTGCCAACGCTGGGCACAAAATGCCCTTTGGAGGGATGGAAACGGACCTCCGGAGT